CCTGCTGAAAGAGGAATTTGTGCTGTTTTATGGTAAGTAATTGCAAATTTCAAGGCATTTTATTTTTCTTTCTTAAATTATAATTGCATTTTTCCCCGGCATATATAAAACTAAACATAAGGCATGATCTGGCCAGTGTTTCTTTAAGAAAAAATGTTCTGGGGCTAGAAGTGATAGAAGGCAATAAAATCGATTTATGAAATTTTCAATATCGGCTTAATATTATTGGTGCAACGTAAAATTTAAATACATAGGTTTAAATGCACTTGTTTTTACACGGGTTGTGACTGATTCAGTTTGGGGGGCAATACTCCCCGACCACTCTTCTGAAAGAAACACTGTATCTGGCCCCTGATGGTGTTCTATAAACTAAATTTGGCCCTCGAGATGTATTAGGTTGGCCAACGCTGGTCTAGAAGATGTAGGAGACTCGACCTCTCACAATCCTACAGGCCATCAAGACTTGTTACAGGGATAGCTTTCACCACAAACCAACAGGCAGTATACTTACTCTTATAATGGCGGAAGCCGTTAATGGGGCACATGCTCTGCTTCTGCCCCATGGGGCTCACCGTGTCCCCCGCCTCCGTTCTGCGGGGAGGTGAAGACAGTCCGCCATACCGCCTCCAGATGAGGTTCGCAGGGGGACCCCTCAGGATGGGTGAAGATCTCACAAATCTTCTCTGATGATGTCCTTACGTTCCTCGTACGTTATAACACTCTCTTGCTGATGAAGCAAATGTGTCTTTAAACCCCCTTAAGGATAGATATAGACATGTTCACTTGACTTATTTCAACTGAATGCTTACTTTAAGGGGCTTGCCGTTTGCACTATTTGAATAAAGCGAATTTTCGTGTACAGAGGTTACGCAACTTTTAACAGCAACACAAGGTTTCTGAATTATGCTTTGTGCTCGGGCACCTTAAGTGAGGCTCCCTTCTTAACAAACCGCACTTAGCCACAAAAGACCCATTGAATATGACGTGGAATAGTAATGAATCTTGTAGCACTTTTTAACTTTATTGTTCCTTGCGGTTTTCTTCTGATATTACAGCTTGAAGATCATAAGGTCAAAGTCTCTCTACCTCGTATACAGGTCATTTCAAATTTACGGGATACATACTTTAATACCACTTTATTGCAAGATCGCTCATAAAAACGGCTTCTACAATTACTGCCAGCAGGGGCACTAGAATACCACACGATCGAGTTTTTATTTAGTTTCTGAATGTCATTAACCTCGGGAATTCTTTTCTCCTCCTGTGGCCAGTCACTGCTGGTTGCTTGCTCATCTTGAAATCATACACTCCCTTGGTAACAAAGGACGGAACCAGAAACCCTGTGCGGATTGATTCCAGACAGCACGACCATTGCTCTCTCACAAAACAGACACTCTGATTCTAACAGCACCGGAAGACGGCTCACTTCCGCAAACAGTGGCATGCTTTCATCTGCCTCAGTCTTCGTTTCTTCACCGTGTTTCAGACTAAGCTGTAATTACAAGTTTGATTTAGTTTTGTTGGCCCTCGGTTCAAAGAATATTAAATAACAAGCATCCATTATGTTACGTTATATGTGAACGATGAATCTACGTTTTTGTAGTGTCAGCTGTCACTCGAAACGGTGATTTCGAATTTTTTATATACAGTCTCTTTACCTTATTCAACAAAACTGAAGTACTAATTCGTACAGTCTGAACAGTAGGACCTTATTTAAATAGTTCCTGGAAGTCAATCTACTGGTTCTCATTCTAGTTTGAAACAAAAATTTTCGCATTCCAGCCATGTTAACAGGAATCTAATGGAACATTACGGCATTTTATACGTAACTGACAAGTTTAAAGTACTAGGAATTATTTAGTTCATTTTATAACCAGAGGTTCGACTTACTCTACTTTCTGTTAATCATGTTTTAGTAGCGCTTTCTTAATATTTAAAATATTAATTATATTCAACATGAGCACATGCAAGTGTATATCGCAGAACGTTTAGCATGATTGCATTAACTGAAATTTTATTATCGTCTAAATGCTGAAGTTGCCTTGTTTTGTCCTTGTTTATCGGTTTTCTTTTGTTTCCTTCTTATACTCGTGATTACTTTTCAATTGGCCTTTAGGCGGTTAAGTAAGTATGCAAGTAAATAAATGCTGCTGCTGCTGCAACTACCACAATTTTTTCCCCCTGGCACTACAACCCCAGTGGGCCTAGGCCCACCTCCATGAACTCCGTTCACTTCGGTTTTTCTCGATCTTACACATTCGGTAGGACTCCTTGGGCGAGTGATCAGCTCGTCGCAAGGCCTCTACCTGTATACAAACACAGAAAAACGCACACAAACATCCATGCCCTGAGTGGGATTCGAACCCACGATCCCGGCTTCCGAGCGAGCGAAGACAGTGCATGCCTTAGACCGCTCGGCTACCGTGACCGGCTCCCACTATTATACTCTACTATTATTAAACAGGTTGGTTCTGGGTTAATCTGGCTCAGGAAGGAAACCTGTGAACCTTTACGAACACGCAATGAACTTTCATGTTCCATAAAAAGTGGGGAGCTTCATAAATAGATAGTTCACTCAAGAAAGACTTTGCTCCATGGGGTTAATTAGTTAGTTACGTATAATTACCGCCATTAAGGCTCTTCCTTCGGTGGCAAAGCTACGGAGAGCTGGCAGACAAACTTGAAACATTATGCAAAATGTTACCAATACAAAGCTAGGAGAAAACGGGAGGTGAAACAAGCTTAAAATTTGATTTAAACTGAGTTATCTTGAACAGTTTTATTTTGCGAACAAGCTTATAAAATACAGATACACCCCCACAATGATTGCTGTGAAATCTAAATACTGGCACCTAAAAAAGTAGAGCTGTCCTGTAACAAGTCGCGGAGGCCTACTGTCATTATTATTGTTATTATTATTATTATTATTAATATTAATATTACAATTATTATTAACGATATTTTGCAGTACGTTCAATTTAATCCCAACCAACACGGCTTCACAAAATCTAAATTTACAGTTACTAATTTGGTAACGTTTCTTGACTTATGACTTCTGTTGTTCGCGGTCAGCGTCAAGCTGATACTGTGTATTTTGATGTTTGAAATGCTTTTGTCTTCGTCCCTCAAAACCTGCTCTTCCGTAAGTTAAGTTCCTTTTGATTCTCTGATGTTTGTGTTAGCTGGTTTCGCAGTTGCTTAATCTACACAGAATCTCGGGTTCGCGTTTCTTGTACTCTCACCTAACCGTTTCAAGTTCACTCCCGGTGTGTGGCATGGCTCTGTTCTGGGGCCGTTTCTTTTCAACGAACTCATTAATGACCTATGTAACTCTATTAATCATTGTAAATTTTTAGTTTCTGCTGCTGATCTCAGAATTATCCACGTCATTGACTCTCCACATTGACTCTCATTCCAATCTGACATCAATTCCGTGAGTAACCGGTGCGTTTCTAACTCCACGAGGCTTAATACTGCTAAACGCGAGTTCGGTCGTACTCCAGGAAGAAAAATGTTCTGAGTTAAAATATCGGGTTTTCAATGCTGCCATTATACGCACCAGCAGTATTAAGGGCCTAGGTGTTTCCTTTAATTCAAAATTGTATTTTCACACTCGTGTTGATCTCATATTTTCTGAATGCATAGTTATTATGCCATGTTAGGTGGGTCTCTTGTCACCACGGCATGGCGCGTCTTCAGGTTGCGGATGGAGACGCCCTCTCGGTATGGAGGGAAGCTGCGAATATACTGAATAAGAAGTAGCAGACAGCCGACAAGGGGTGGTCCTCCAACTTGGGTTTTGGCGTGAGGCTAAAGACTCCTCACTGTAAAAATTAATTATGTTACGAAAATGAACACAAAGCCTAGGACCTGGACGGATTCCTTGGATAAACGACCTAAGCTAAAGAAAATGGATTTGAGATTTGGCACTTGGAATGTCCGAAGTTTGTACAGGGCAGGTTCGCTCAGGGCAGTGGCAGAAGAAATCTTAAAATATGAGTTAGATTTAGCGGAAGTACAGGAGGTCAGATGAGATGCAAGTGGCATCGCACCAGCAGGAGACTACATTTTTCTATGGAAAGGGGAATGAAAATCATGAATTAGGTACAGGTTTTTTCGTACATAAGAGAATCGTATCAGCAGTTAAGAGGGTAGAGTTCGTTAGTGATAGGATAATATATAATACTAACAGGTCGCTGGTGTGATATAATTGTTATGAATGTACACGCCCAAACAGAAGATAAAATTGATGACATAAAGGGCAGATTCTATGAAGAACTAGAACATGTATTTGATAAATTCCCGAAGTACCTTATGAAAAATTTGTCAGGAGATTTCAATGCCAAAGTATGGAGGGAAGACATTTTCAAACCAACAATTGGGAATGAGAGTTTGCATGAAATTAGTAATGATAATGGAGTTAGAGTTGTAAACTTTGCCACATCAGAAAATCTTACTGTCAAAAGTACAATGTTCCCACATCGTAACATCCGTAAATTTACTTGGACATCTCTCCCAAGTCTTCATATTCCAGCAAAATTAGTCTGTTACAACATGGAAATCATTAATTTGTCACCAGGGCCATGCTTATCGCAGCCTGATTTCTTGTCTATTTGCCTGTAAAAATAGGTGCCCTTATACACAAGTCTCGCTGTGGTGAAGGCATGTATTGGCTCTGGTTATTTGAGTGAACAATCAAACTGCCAACATTAAAACAAGCCTACAAGTCAACAGAAACGTTTAAACGATTGTATGTGTGTGGTTGTGTTCTTTCTTAAACTGGGTTTAATGAGGCCATGCAGCTCTTAATTACAATTATTTTCCAAAAAGGCTTGCATTTCACAATATTCTAATTACTTTCCTTTTTTAAATTTATTTATTTATTTAGTAAATAAAGCTATAAATATAAATATCAGTGTCCTCTGTTATACGGAGGTGTACATCTTTATCCCTGAAAAGCATTTTCGTCTGAAACACTGCCTCGAATTCTGCACAGCTTCATGGGAATTAACATTCAGTACTTGTGGAACATCTTATTGCCCGGTTTAGTTAGGATTTAATCCCTATTTTCAACCGAAAGTTGATTTTTTTTCCTTTGGCGCTACAGCCCCAATTAGGGCCTTGGTCTACCTCCATGAAACTCTCCGTATCACTTCGGTTTACTAGATCTTAAACATGTGGTAAGGCTCCTTGCGCGGGTAATCAGTTCGTCGCAAGGTCTCTACCTGTACATAAACACAGAAAAATGCACATACATATACAAACATTCAACAACCATTCCCTGAGTGGGATTCGAACCCAGATCTCGGCTTCCGAGTGAGCGGAGACAGTGCATGCCTTATACCGCTCGGCTACCGTGACCGGCAAAGTATAATATCACGGTTTATCGTATGACGGGCACGCGGTAGCGTAGTTGGTTGAGGTACTATGCTACCAGTCGGAAGGTCCGGGTTCAATTCCTGATAAGGTGGATTTTTCAATTGACCTAATCCTTCAAGCCACACTATAGCGCTGGGGTCGACTCAACCTCTAACAGAAATGAGTACCAGGAATCTTTCCGGGGTGTAGAGGGCGGCCGGGGCGTAAGGCTCATAGCCTTACCGCCATCTGTAAGGCGACTTTCTGGAGACGTCTAACAACCCCATGGGCCTTCACGGCCTCTTACAGGGATAGCGTTTATCTTTTCTTTTTATTAATTCTTTAAAGCGTGAAGTCCATCTAAACAAACACGTTACCTCTCGAACATAAATACCATCCGAGTAATGTTGTATAATTGTTAACTGTGAGAATCATACAATGAGGGTGGTATATACACGTATACGTGTGCTTTAAAGGACCACTCGTTAAACACGTAGCGCACGAAGCCTTACCTCCCAACAACTCGTCAAACCATCACGACGCGATCTCCGAGATTGTTCTGAGCGAACCTCCCAATAAAAATTTCTATTGAAATGCTTGTTTTGTACTTAAACGACCTACATGGGGGCACGCCACTATATATTCGTCAGGTCCTTTAATATTTCCATTAAAAACTGTGAACCCGTCTTCTATGTCGAACGATGTCATCCGACTGCGTCAGAAACTGCTTGGAAATTTATGGTCCCTATGCGAACGGCGAAGTAATAGTCTGCTTGCATATGCTGAGCAACGGTGTACGTACTTTATCACCAACTTTCTCATTTTAATCACATTCTGTTTAATAGGCAACTGTAAAGCTGCTGCGCGGTCACCAGTAATGATGATAAGAGACGCACGTGTTGGGGGTGTTAACCTTCGGCGAGTCCGCATCGCCAGCGCACGGCTCAGTTGACGGCGTCATATCCAGACGTCTGTTATGACAGATTCTTTTCGTCCTTGTAGCCAACTTGTCCGAAAGTTAACACGACTGAGAAAGAATTCGATTTCATAGAACACATTTACTTCACTTCAAATTACGGTTTCTGTATCTGTCCGTCCGCTCTTTTGTTAGCCAATTACGAAAGACATGCGAAA